TCTGAATATTTTGATTTTCCTCATTTCATTCATCAGCTTCACAAGCCTGGCATGAGTCTCGTCAAGAGGTTCTCCAGGAGCAGCCTTGAACGAGTCATAAGCCATTAGAATAGCAGATTTCTTGGTTTTTAGGCTTATGCTCGTGCCTTGGAGTAATTTTTCAATCTCATCCCACATTTCTTTTGCAGTTTGCATACTGTCAATCATCACGTACACTTCATTGGGGATGGCTTGGAGGAGGTATGTTTTGGCCATAAGGTCTCCTCTCAGCCTTAGCTTGTCTGCTTCAGTGTATTCAGACGGCCTCTTTCGTCTTGTTTCCGGAGGAATGGGTGGATTATTAGTTGAGTCCCCTCCTACGTCAATCATTAGTACAGCTGGTCCTTCCAGGAGTGATTCCAGCATTGCATCGGAGTTTTCTTTGTGTTCTAGGAAATTCAAGAAACGAGTTCTCCACATTTGGTACTCCCCTTTCCTCAGAGATGGAGGAGTACTGTTGTTTCCTTGGGCATTGGATTCAGAAGCCATTCCTGTAGCTGTAGAAAACTGACCGTTCGAGAAATAAGATCAGAAAATTTACTAAGTCAAGAACTCGAGTTCCTGAGTATTAAAAGCCTAAACTCGAGGTCTGGGGAACTCGAGGTGAGAGTTCGAGTTTATGAACTCGAGGTCAAGAGTTCGAGTTTCCAAAACTCGAGGTGTAAACTCGCAGGGTCAAAACTCGTGGTCAGACTGCGAGTTTGCAGACTGCGAGTTTGTAGACTGCGAGTTGTAGAACGCGAGTTGTAGACAGCGAGTTCTTGAGCTCGAGTTTGCAGACAGCGAGTTTCTCAACTCGAGTTTGCAGCTGCGAGTTTATGCAATAACACCTTGGGCTGCGAATTCCTGAAAAAATAAAACTTCAGATTTTCAGAAAAAAAAAAGGTAGGTTGTAGCCCTTGTTGTAGAGATCCTTTTACCCAAGTTTCAGGTCAAAAAGCTGCACAGAGCTTAGAGAAACGAGGGGTGCGAGTTCTTGGGTGCGAGTTTACAGAGAACGAAAAAATGCGGAAACGAAAAAGGAAGATATACTGCTTGATCATCTTTGAAACGCGATTCTAACAGTATAACTTTTACAGTATTTGGTGCAGAAATAAGATTACAGATGATAAACTCGCTATTCTACAAAAACAGAGTCTTTCGCAGATAGTTCTTCTGATCAACTCTCGATCGGCTCTGATACCATTTGTTAGTCCCTGTTTTCTATAACAACAGTATAATATGGCATACAGATGAAAGATTAACAACAAAGATGAACACAGAAAGATTAAGTGTAAACCTTCTCTGATATACCGTGAACCTTTCGTACAAGAATGATAAGCGCTAAGGCTATTTTGAGCAGATACGAAAGTTAACCGCAAACCTGAGTCCTCCGCCCCTTTTTATAGGCGAGGCTCAGGTATGCGTAAAAAGGCTTCTCGCCTAAGTATGGGCCTAACACTTGGCCCATATTGAATACTATTCTAACAGATATATTTAATCAGTGCTGAACAGAAATAGTAAACATCTAAATTATTACAGACAAAACAGACAAACTTGATTCACAATAAAATAGTCTTCAACAAACAAGTACTAAGTGCTCCTCATGCTCTTCTTCGCTCTTTGAGTAAATCAAGATGTCATCTATGAACACGATCACAAACCGGTCCAAGTATTTATGAAATACTCGGTTCATCAAGTCCATAAATGCCGCCGGGGCGTTTGTTAGCCCAAACGACATAACTAAGAACTCAAAATGACCATATCTCGTGCGGAAAGCACTCTTCGGTATGTCATCCTCCTTTATCTTCAATTGGTGGTACCCCGATCTCAAGTCAATCTTCGAGAACACCGTCGCTCCTCAAAGCTGATCAAACAAGTCATCAATCCTAGGCAAAGGATACCTATTCTTGATTGTGACCTTGTTCAGTTGACGGTAGTCAATGCACATTCGAAGTGTCCCATCTTTCTTTTTCACGAAAAGAACCGGGGCTCCCCACGGAGAGTAACTCAGCCTTATGAAACCGTTATCCAATAGCTCTTGCAATTGGGTTTTCAACTCATTAAGTTCAGCGGGTGCCATTCTGTATGGCGGTATAGAGATTGGTTTGGTGCCGGGTTAAACCTCGATCACGAACTCAATCTCCCTATCGGGTGGAAGTCCCGGCAAGTCTTTTGGGAAGGCATCCGGATACTTACACACTACTCTCACATCATTGATATCTACCTCTTCTTTGGCTTTATCCACCACGTATGCTAGATATGCGTGGCATCCCTTTCTCATCATATTCCTCGCTCTCACGGCGGATATGATACAACTGTTTGACTTGCCTCTATCTCCCTCAAAGCGTAAGGTAAGCCCCTCACCGCTTTCGAGTTCGAGAACCTTCGTGTAGCAATCGACCCTAGCATGATGTTTCTCAAGCCAATCCATTCCGAGGATTGCATCAAACTCGATCATATTCAGCGGTACGAAGTCACACGTCAAGATTTGGCCCTCCACTTCCACCTCACACGATGGATAGTGGCTATCTCTTTCGACATCATCCCCTAGAGGTGTGGACACCAATAGGGTTGAGTCATCGGTACAAGCGGTTCATTGAATCCCCCGGCGAACGCCTCACTCACAAATGATCGTTGCGCCCCGGTATCAATAAGAATTCTTGCGTCTCTCCCGTTTATCTTTAATGTTCCTACATTCATAAGCAATGTAAGACACACTTTTTAAGTATAGACTCGCTTATTTGGTTAAAGAGTGTACCAACTACGGTTTAGATGGTAGTCGTTCAACGTCTCATCACAACCCACCCGGTTCTCACCCTCAAGAACCGACGTAGTGCACCAACAGGGGAAAGCCGACCGCTTTTTGCAAAAGCCGGCCGGTTTTCGTTCAACCCTGAACTAGTCATTACGTAAGCCAGGCGGTTTCTACGAAAGTCGGTCGGGGTTTGGCTGCGAGGAATCCTGATGATTATTAATTACTGTAAGGAATAAATGTTTTTAGATTTTGATGATGCTAGGTTTATTAGAATTTGAAAGTACCCCATTAGAAATTGTGTATTAGAATTTCTTTTGTAAGTTTTAGCTTAGTCTGTCTGCCAGAGTTCCATCTTGCCTCTACCAGAGTTGCTCCCAGAGTTGCTCACCAGAGAAGCCATCAGAAACTGGTTATCAGGAAGATACCAGAGTTGGCAACAGAGACGGACTACAGAGATTGGACCAGAGAACCTCTTTAGACTCTGCTAAATCCACCAGATTCCGGAAGCCTTTCCAACGGTCGTTAAACTAACGGGAAATCCCCTAACGGTTACGAACCTTTCAACGGAAACATGGCACTGTACACGCATTAAATGCACATTTAATGATGTACGTACGAAGAGATATTTAAAGCTGATGATTGACCATGCGAGTATCTTTACGCCCCCAAAATAGCAAGTCGAAGGTCCAACCGGTCAAGTCAACAGTACATGCATTTAATGAAGCTGTCTTCTACACTCCAACGGGAAGACTGCTCCCAGTATATAATATACACTCTGAAGAACTAAGAGGATAACTTTGCCAAGATAACTTTGCGTAAACAACCCTTTTGAGATTCAAACTTCATTCTCAGACAAGAAAAGGCTCCAGTTGGAAGATATACTTTCCTATCCTTCATCCAACTAGCAAACTGCAAAGTTACTCAGTTCTTCAACACTTCGAAAGCTTCATATACCTATCCTTTGTGAAGAAGCAACGTTGGAGAAAACTGATTTTATATCAAACACTTCTTGAAAAAGAAGGGACGTCTCAAACTAGGTGGAGTAAGTGAAGTGGGGATACTTCAAGAGACTCAGTGAAACGAGACCAGCCATCAGGAAGCAAGACTGCATCCCGGGTGGCAACTAGACTTGAAGAAGACGAGGAGTGCTTCTTAAGCTCTAGGGACTAATGCGTTGTAAACTGTTGTTTTTACAAGCTTAGTGGAACAGTGGACTAGAGGAACAAGTTGTTCCTTGAACCACTATAAAAACCCCGGTGTCATTTACTTTAAGCTTTTAATTCCTGCACTTAAGATTCTACTGACTAACTCTTAAGGTTGGACTCTGTGTCCAGCAGATCTTCCTTCAGAGTCATCAGAAAGGCACTTTGCCTTAGCTTTCTTCTAGAGGCTACCCGGACAGAAACTTATTCGCTGCCTGGTCTAGTTCTGCCATCAGAACTTGACCATCTCTGTCACCAGATTTGGACCATCTCTGTTAAGTCCGACTTGACTTGAAGAAAAGTTTAAATTCCTAAACAGTCTATTCACCTGTGACACTCCAAAAATTTAAATAAAAAAAATAAAAATAATTTTTAGCCAGATAAATCATAAAATATTACGGAAATGACATTTTAATTATTAATTGAGTCAGACAAAAAAAAAATTCAACAGTTGTAACATTCTAATCAGAGAAAAATTTCAAAATTTATGACGTCTTAGTCAGATAAAAATATTTCAGTAATAGGAACAACATTTTATGAAACAAGTGAACCAGACAGAAAATTAACAATTGTGACATTTTTAGTCAGATAAAAATGGTCCAATAAAAGAAGTAATATTTTATATCAAGTACCAATTATACATATGACATAAGAAGTAAAAGCTATATTTTATTTTTACAAAACACAATTTCCATTTTTACTCCTAAATATATAAACTATACCCGTACAATACTATACGTTTTAGACCTGCGCATCAGTTGTAAACCAGCCAAGGAAGGAGCTTAAATGAAAATAAAAAGGGAAGATCCCAAAACGTAGGAAACGTACGTAACGCTCAAAAAAAAATCATAGAAGAAGAATTTTAGGATCTGAATCATAAGCTTGTGCACCCAGTCATCTTTATAAATAGCAGAACAAACTGTCTGGCCTTTCATCCCAAAAAATTTCGTCGGAATACATATATATATATATATATATATATATATATATATATATATATATATATATATATATATACCCGAAATTTCCAACCCTGCGAAATACTCGAAACCGAGCCCTGAAAACACTTCCCAGACCTTCCCTTTCGTGAGAGGAATCCAACGGAGGAAGAATCGTTGAAAACGGTCGTGAAACGAGGGAGAAAACGCTCGCCGGAGTTTTCGCCGGAAAACTTTCCCGACAGAAAACGGAGGAGCAGGAGCCGCCGTCGCCGCCGCCAACCCTCCACCGGCCTTCGCCGTCTCGAGAGGAGTGCACCGCTACCCCGTTGGCCGTTTCCGACGAGGTAAGGCCTCTTCCCCGTTTTTTTTTCTTGTTCCCCCGTTTTTCCGGCGATTCACCGGAGAAGACAACCCAGCCAAGGCTGGGGTCTGTCTTGGGCCTGATCTTTGGGCCAGAAAAATTAAATTTGGGCCAGTTCGGCCCAGTTGCAATAAAAATTAAAAATAAAATAGTAAATGAAATAAATAAAATCTGGAAAAATATAAATTAAATACCTGGTGTAATTATACATGTTCGGACCAACCAGAATTGAAAAATAATATTTTTAGCTATTTTTAATTGATTTAATGGTAATTGGGCCAATTTGTACACAATTAGTAAATAAATAAATGGCGAAATTAATTATGAAATAAATATTGGAGCAAACTAGGATAAATATAAGACTAACTAAGACATTATGGACCATTTATAATTAATAAAAATTAATATTAGTATATTTAATTGTGAATGGACCGGTTATTTGATATTCGAAAATAAATGAATAATTAAGGAAAATGAGTTATAAAATAAATATTTGGACAACCTAAGCCAAATATAGAACCAAAATGTAGTTATGGACGGTTATTAATTTATAAAGTCGACTCTTGGCTATTTTATTAAATTGGACCATATAAAGCTAATTAAGTAATTAAATAATACATTTTTAATATCGATGAAATGAATTTATAGTTTAATATTCATTAAAGAATATTATATTAAAATAATTATTTCGACTTGGTATCATAATTAGATTAAATAAATTGGTAGATTTTGTTTTCACTAATTATTGGACTAATTAAGGTAGAGTAATATAAAATTTGCATAATGTCGGACTTTAAAATATTAAGTGTTTAAGTAATTAATAAAATCAGAAAATATTAGTTAATTCGGATTTATTAATGCTAATAATGTTAATATAAACTAATTTTGATATTTGATTAATTAGATTAAAAATAATTCGGATATAATATTAAGACATACCAAATGCTTTAGGAGTTGAGTAAATAAAAAGATGATTATTAAATTAGAAATTTGATATTGTAATTAATTATATTCGTATGTTTTAGAATTTAAGTATTTTGATTAACGACGGAATTAATAAGGTAATTTAATTAATAAGAAGTGATTAACGCGGATAATAAAATAATTGAATTAGTGAATTCGAAAAATAAAATAAAAGGTAAAAATCGAGTAAAATAATTATTAAAGAGTAAGTGACTAATTATATCATCTTAATTAAAAAGGTGATTATTTAGAGACCGGAGTAGAAGAAGAGAATTAGGAGCACCCGGACTAGAGGTAAGTTTCTCTGCCAATCTAAAATTGTTTCCTCGTATTATATGCTTATTATGCATTATGTGAATAAGTGTGAATTGTTGAATTTTGTGTATGTGATTTTTGAAGAGATATTATATATGTGGTAGTTGAGAAATATAAATTAAGTACTTTTGGGGTATTAAATATTTTTAAATACCTTCAAGACTTTTTAGAGAAATTGAGAAGTATTTTTGAAGTATTATTTATTGAAGATAAAATTTACATTTTTATAAGAAGTGAGCATCTCGGGAGTAATCCGAGGTGTCGGTTTTCCACGTCCGGATAAATGTGGAGGGTGATTAGGTCTGCTACTACTAAGAAGTACAGTTTGAGTTTAAAGTGATATTTGGATCGATGATCCCTTTTAAGAAGAAGTTATGGTAGTAGTAGTCCCTAATCATTCACGATATCTTATTCAGGGGTAGTTGGTAGACTGAGTCCCGACTACTCGTTACGACTTACTACTCGGAGGGCTTGGAATCCCTTTTAGGGGGTGTGCACACTTAAGGTAGTCGTTTCGTTTCCAACAGAGCAGTTGTGGTACCGGCACTTGTTCGGGGTGGCCGTCCGTAACCACGGTCCACCGAGCTCTACCGAAAGGTTGAGCACCGCCCTTCTAAATTACTAGGAAGTTAGAGAAGAAGTGCTTTTTGAGGAAATCAAAGAGAAGAGTTATTATGAAGTTTTATAGAGGAGTTGAGGATTTTTGTAAAGAAGTAGTCTTGAGAAAAATCAAAGTGAAAAGAATTTCGATGGTGTGAGTATTTTTATATATTATTATATAAAAATCTATCTTAGTCAAACATGATTATTTTACGGGGTTGGGTAGTACTTACTTAGCTCTAAAGCTAATTTTTGTCTTCTTTTCCTTGTTTTGTTCTGCACTTATTTGTGCAGGTGAGGTTGATTCTGTCGATTGATGATTGCTTGCATGGCCCGAGAGCGAGTTAGAAGCCGCCTTAGTTATACTAGTCATGAAATAACATTTACTTTACAAACACTTTATTTCTATTAAATTATTTGTTATGTTCTAGTTGCCTGTGCATCCGGTTGAGAGATGACCGGATGTGGCGGTAACACCCATTTCCCTTACTAAGACTTCCGCTGTACTTTCTTTAGATTTTCATTATCAATAAATAAAAGTTTTATTTCAATTATATCAACGTTTTGGGTGGGAAATTTGGGGGTGTTACAAATTGGTATCAGAGACTTTGGTTTTCCCGAAAGGACTAGAACACGAGGTAATAGGTCGTAGGGAGAAATTCTGTCACAAAGACGATAACAGTCTAAGCTGGTTGGTGCATAATTGAGTCTTTGCGCTCGTCCAACTAACTGGGAATTTCTCCTTGTGCTGAAACTTCGTTGTTCGAAATCTTTGACGAAAACTATGGGTTTGATGCGGGATTTTCAAAAATGTTTTCCTAAAATTAGGAGAATGAATATACTAGGAAAGAGGCCTTTTAGGAACGCGGTGAGAGGGAGAAACCTTGCGAAGTTATTGAGTTATGAAATGCATGGGATTCATGCCTCTGTGAAGTATGTAAAATATTTGATACACTATGTGTACTATTTGTTCTAAGAATCTGAAGTTAGTAGAGAATTTGTATAGAATCCTTATGTATGCATTAATACTTAGTACGGGCTTTTCTTTATTAGGAAACATGCCGCCAAGAAGAAATCCCCATGCGACCCCAACTGTTGAGGAGTTGGCTCAAACTATTCAGCAGATGGCGCAACACATCGGAGCAGCTCAAACCCATAACCAAGGGGTTGACTATGCAGCGCGCGTAGCCGGAAGGAACCCCCCAAAATACCTGGGGGAGAAGGATCATCTGATTCTAGAAGACTGGATCCGAACCTTCGACAAGCTCTTTGATTCGCTCAACTGCCCGTTAGAGCAGCGGGTAAACATAGCGGTGTACTACTTGCACCAAGAGGCGGATCATTGGTGGGCTGCCACCGGGACAACTCTGCTCGAGCAACCGGAATTTTGTTGGGAAGACTTCAAGATAGCCCTACGCGACCGTTTCTATCCGGACCATGTGAAAGAGGCAAACTATGATGAGTTTGTCAACTTCAAGCAAGGAGATTTAACCGTCCAAGAGTACCACACGAAGTTTGTCCAATTGGCCCGCTTCGCCAAAGAGCTGGTATCTACTGAGGCCAGCATGACCCGAAGATTTGTGAATGGGCTGAACTTTGGCGCCCAAAAGTTCGTAACCGTGGCAGAGCCGCGGAACATGAATGAGGCGTACCGGAAGGCCGGGAAGTACTACATGGTACATCAGAAGGAGAGGGAGGCGCAGAAGAGAGACCGGAAGATTGCCGAGGTAGAACAGCAGCAAAAGAAGGCCCGAACTGACCGCCCAGAGCCAAGACAGAACAACCAAAACGGTAGAACCTTCCAAGGCCAGGGTCAGGGAAGGAATCAGCCCGCTCAGGTACGGCACTACAAATGCAAACTGTGCCCAAATAACCATCCCGGGAAGGATTGTGCGGGAAATGCGGTGAGATGTTACAACTGTAATCTCATGGGGCATCGGGCATATGAGTGCCGGAAACCTCCGAGCCAGGGTCAAGGCCAAGGGAACAACCAAACTGGGGGCGGGAATAATCACGCTAACATCAACCGTGGTAATCCCGGTAATCGCCCAGTGGAGGCTAACCGAAACCAAGGCCCGGGAGGGCAAAACAAAACTCAAGGCCGCATCTACGTCATGAACCAGGCGCAAGCAAATGCACACGATGTGGTGACAGGTACCTTTCTTGTAAACTCCAAACCTGCTTATGTGCTGTTTGATTCAGGTGCGTCCCACAGCTTCATAGCATCAAAATTCGTGGAAAGGACGAAGCTAGAACCTACCACTAAGCTTAGTCTTAACGTAAAAACGGCCTCCAACCAAGTGGTGGCATGTGGGAGTGTTTTCTCTAACGTTCCCATAGTCATATCCGATACCGAACTACCCGGAGATCTAATCCAATTTGACCTGGAGGATATCGACGTGGTGTTGGGTATGGACTGGCTAGGGAAATATAAAGCCAAAATCCTATGCGACGAGCAGAAAGTGGTCTTAAGAGGACCCAATAAACAACGTGTATCCTACAAAGCAGTTACATCTAAACCGGGAGTGAAGCTTGCAACCATGCAACAAGTCAAACGATATGCCCGAAAGGGGTATGAAGTTTACTTGTGCAGGATCAAAGACTTGAACTCCGAGGACCCGACCATTGACCAAATCCCAGTGGTCAATGAGTTTCCGGATGTATTCCCAGAAGAGATTCCAGGGATGCCACCGGAGAGGGAAGTCGAGTTTTCAATCGACCTTCTGCCGGGCACCGCACCCATCTCAAAGGCACCATACCGAATGGCACCGAAGGAGATGCAAGAACTGAAAGAACAACTTGAAGAATTATTGGAGAAAGGCTACATCAAACCGAGTATCTCACCTTGGGGTGCTCCGGTCTTGTTTGTGAAGAAGAAGGATGGGAGTCTGAGACTCTGCATTGACTATAGGGAGCTGAACAAGGCGACCATCAAGAACAAATACATGCTGCCTCGCATTGATGACCTCTTTGATCAACTGAGGGGAGCTAGCACGTTTTCCAAAGTTGATTTAAGATCCGGGTACCATCAAGTGAGGATTTCTGAGAAAGATATCCCGAAGACGGCCTTTTGAACGAGGTACGGACACTATGAGTTCACCGTAATGCCGTTTGGCCTCACAAATGCACCTGCGGTATTTATGGATCTCATGAACCGTGTGTTCCGACCCTACCTCGATCTGTTCATTGTGGTGTTCATTGACGACATCCTGGTGTACTCCAAGACACCAACTGAGCATGAAGAACATCTGAGGATAGCACTGCAAACTTTGAGAGAGAATCAGCTATATGCCAAACTCTCAAAGTGTGATTTCTGGAGGGACCGGGTAGCATTCTTGGGCCACATCATCACCCGAGAAGGGGTATCCGTTGACCCGTCAAAGATCGAAGCAGTGATTGACTGGCCTGCGCCCAAAACCGTGACGGAGGTCCGGAGCTTTTTAGGTTTGGCGGGCTATTATCGCAGATTCGTGAAGGATTTCTCAAAGATAGCAAAGCCTTTGACTAATCTCACGAAGAAGACCATGAAGTTCATATGGAGTGAAGAATGCAAACAAGCTTTCCAAGAGCTGAAGCAAAGGTTAACAACCGCGCCTGTCTTGACCCTACCGTCCGGTACCGAGGGGTTCGAGATCTACACCGATGCTTGTTTAAAAGGGTTGGGTTGCGTATTGATGCAAAATGGCAAGGTGGTGGCCTATGCATCAAGGCAACTAAAGACACATGAGGTCAACTATCCGACTCATGACTTAGAACTGGCAGCGGTTATCTTTGCTCTAAAGCTGTGGAGGCACTATCTCTATGGGGTACGCTGTAAAGTTTACACCGATCACAAGAGCCTGAAGTACATCTTCACCCAAAAGGAGCTTAACATGAGACAGAGACGCTGGCTAGAACTCGTCAAAGACTATGACTTGGAGATCCAATATCATGAAGGCAAAGCAAACGTGGTTGCCGATGCGCTGAGCCGGAAATCAACCCACTCCTTCAAAGCAGCATGGGTACTACCTGATGAACTCTACCGGGACTTTCAAAAGCTAGACTTGGAAGTTCAGGATTTCGGAGAGGTAGAGCGGGAAACACGGTTACTCACCATGACCGTTACCCCATCTATCTTCGACGAAATTCGTGAAGGACAGCCTGGAGACATAAAGCTAGACCGAATCCGAGCAGGTATGACAAATGGCGTGAACGGTCCGTTCAAACTGTACGAAGACGGGAGCATTCGACACAAAGGAAGGTGGTGTGTTCCGATGAAATGTGAAGAACTTAAAAGGAAAATTCTGGAGGAAGGGCACAACACGCCTTACTCGGTACACCCTGGGGGCGATAAACTCTACAAAGACATCAAAAAGAATTTTTGGTGGCCAAAGATGAAGAAAGAGGTAGCCGAGTTCGTGGCCCGATGCTTAAACTGCCAGAAGGTGAAAGCCGAACGTTGCAAGCCCAAGGGACTCGTACAATCCTTGGAAGTACCAAAGTGGAAGTGGGATTCCATCTCCATGGACTTTGTTGTGGGCTTACCCCTAACCAAGTCTGGAAAAGACAAGGTTTGGGTCATAGTTGATCGGTTAACAAAGACCGCTCGCTTTATCCCAATGAACGAAACTTGGAGCATGGAGAAATTAGCCCGAGCCTACATCAAACACGTGGTTAAGTACCATGGAGTTCCACAAGACATCGTTTCTGACCGTGATTCTAGATTTCTATCTCAATTCTGGAAGGAATTGCAAGCCGCCATGGGGACGAAGTTGAAGCTGAGTACTGCCTTTCACCCGATGACCGATGGACAGATGGAACGAACCATCCAAACACTCGAGGACATGCTGAGAGCATGTATGTTAGACCTACAAGGGTCGTGGGACGAACACTTAGACTTAATAGAGTTTTCGTACAACAATAGCCACCATGCCAGTATCAAAATGGCCTCGTACGAAGCTCTATATGGTCAAAAGTGTAGAAGCCCACTATGCTGGGGTGACATGGAAGATCAAGTGGTGTTAGGGCCGGATTACCTCCAAGACACCATAGAGAAAGTGAAGACGATTCAAGCAAGAATGAAAGCTGCACAAGATCGTCAGAAGTCTTATGCAGACCTGAGAAGGAAGCCAGCAGAATTTGAAGCGGGAGAAAAAGTCCTACTCAGAGTCTCCCCGACCAAGGGAGTAATGAGGTTTGGAAAGAAGGGAAAGCTAAGCCCGAGGTTCATTGGCCCATATGACATCCTCGAGCGAGTGGGAAGAGTGGCATATCGGCTAGCTCTACCCACCGAATTGGCTAAGGTATTACATACTATAAACCGCTCGCCAGTGAATACCTTAGTAAATATCTCTCAAAACCTAAAGTGTGTTATGCGTAGGTACACAACGTTTTCCATATCTCCCAATTGAAGAAGTATGTCCGCGACGAATCCCATATTCTTAGCCCCGAGGTACGAATCGTAACCTTATGATAATTAGATCCAAGTATCACATCTAACCTCGACTTTTTAGGTGGTCGAGTTGGATGAATTGTTGACTTACGAGGAGAGGCCAATCCAGAGTTTGGATACTAAGACCCGTGAGACTAGAAGAAAAGCGGTTAAGATGGTAAAGGTGTTGTGGTCTAACCATTTGGCCGAAAATGCCACATGGGAGACTGAAGACGATATGCGCAAATGTTATCCAGAGTTATTTGAATCAGGTAAAATTTGAGTTACGAGGACGTAACCTCTCTTTAAGGGGGGTAGAATGTAACACTTAAGAATTTGATTATTTAGATATAGTAATGTTTCGGGACGAAACATCTTTTAAGGAGGGTCGAATGTGACACTCCAAAAATTTAAATAAAAAAAAATAAAAATAATTTTTAGCCAGATAAATCATAAAATATTACGGAAATGACATTTTAATTATTAATTGAGTCAGACAAAAAAAAATTCAACAGTTGTAACATTCTAATCAGATAAAAATTTCAAAATTTATGACGTCTTAGTCAGATAAAAATATTTCAGTAATAGGAACAACATTTTATGAAACAAGTGAACCAGACAGAAAATTAACAATTGTGACATTTTTAGTCAGATAAAAATGGTCCAATAAAAGAAGTAATATTTTATATCAAGTACCAATTATACATATGACATAAGAAGTAAAAGCTATATTTTATTTTTACAAAACACAATTTCCATTTTTACTCCTAAATATATAAACTATACCCGTACAATACTATACGTTTTAGACCTGCGCATCAGTTGTAAACCAGCCAAGGAAGGAGCTTAAATGAAAATAAAAAGGGAAGATCCCAAAACGTAGGAAACGTACGTAACGCTCAAAAAAAAAAACATAGAAGAAGAATTTTAGGATCTGAATCATAAGCTTGTGCACCCAGTCATCTTTATAAATAGCAGAACAAACTGTCTGGCCTTTCATCCCAAAAAATTTCATCGGAATACATATATATATATATATATACCCGAAATTTCCAACCCAGCGAAATACTCGAAACCGAGCCCTGAAAACACTTCCCAGACCTTCCCCTTCGTGAGAGGAATCCAACGGAGGAAGAATCGTTGAAAACGGTCGTGAAACGAGGGAGAAAACGCTCGCCGGAGTTTTCGCCGGAAAACTTTCCCGACAGAAAACGGAGGAGCAGGAGCCGCCGTCGCCGCCGCCAACCCTCCACCGGCCTTCGCCGTCTCGAGAGGAGTGCACCGCTACCCCGTTGGCCGTTTCCGACGAGGTAAGGCCTCTTCCCCGTTTTTTTTCTTGTTCCCCCGTTTTTCCGGCGATTCACCGGAGAAGACAACCCAGCCAAGGCTGGGGTCTGTCTTGGGCCTGATCTTTGGGCCAGAAAAATTAAATTTGGGCCAGTTCGGCCCAGTTGCAATAAAAATTAAAAATAAAATAGTAAATGAAATAAATAAAATCTGGAAAAATATAAATTAAATACCTGGTGTAATTATACATGTTCGGACCAACCAGAATTGAAAAATAATATTTTTAGCTATTTTTAATTGATTTAATGGTAATTGGGCCAATTTGTACACAATTAGTAAATAAATAAATGGCGAAATTAATTATGAAATAAATATTGGAGCAAACTAGGATAAATATAAGACTAACTAAGACATTATGGACCATTTATAATTAATAAAAATTAATATTAGTATATTTAATTGTGAATGGACCGGTTATTTGATATTCGAAAATAAATGAATAATTAAGGAAAATGAGTTATAAAATAAATATTTGGACAACCTAAGCCAAATATAGAACCAAAATGTAGTTATGGACGGTTATTAATTTATAAAGTCGACTCTTGGCTATTTTATTAAATTGGACCATATAAAGCTAATTAAGTAATTAAATAATAAATTTTTAATATCGATGAAATGAATTTATAGTTTAATATTCATTAAAGAATATTATATTAAAATAATTATTTCGACTTGGTATCATAATTAGATTAAATAAATTGGTAGATTTTGTTTTCACTAATTATTGGACTAATTAAGGTAGAGTAATATAAAATTTGCATAATGTCGGACTTTAAAATATTAAGTGTTTAAGTAATTAATAAAATCAGAAAATATTAGTTAATTCGGATTTATTAATGCTAATAATGTTAATATAAACTAATTTTGATATTTGATTAATTAGATTAAAAATAATTCGGATATAATATTAAGACATACCAAATGCTTTAGGAGTTGAGTAAATAAAAAGATGATTATTAAATTAGAAATTTGATATTGTAATTAATTATATTCGTATGTTTTAGAATTTAAGTATTTTGATTAACGACGGAATTAATAAGGTAATTTAATTAATAAGAAGTGATTAACGCGGATAATAAAATAATTGAATTAGTGAATTCGAAAAATAAAATAAAAGGTAAAAATCGAGTAAAATAATTATTAAAGAGTAAGTGACTAATTATATCATCTTAATTAAAAAGGTGATTATTTAGAGACCGGAGTAGAAGAAGAGAATTAGGAGCACCCGGACTAGAGGTAAGTTTCTCTGCCAATCTAAAATTGTTTCCTCGTATTATATGCTTATTATGCATTATGTGAATAAGTGTGAATTGTTGAATTTTGTGTATGTGATTTTTGAAGAGATAGTATATATGTGGTAGTTGAGAAATATAAATTAAGTACTTTTGGGGTATTAAATATTTTTAAATACCTTCAAGACTTTTTAGAGAAATTGAGAAGTATTTTTGAAGTATTATTTATTGAAGATAAAATTTACATTTTTATAAGAAGTGAGCATCTCGGGAGTAATCCGAGGTGTCGGTTTTCCACGTCCGGATAAATGTGGAGGGTGATTAGGTCTGCTACTACTAAGAAGTACAATTTGAGTTTAAAGTGATATTTGGATCGATGATCCCTTTTAAGAAGAAGTTATGGTAGTAGTAGTCCCTAATCATTCACGATATCTTATTCAGGGGTAGTTGGTAGACTGAGTCCCGACTACTCGTTACGACTTACTACTCGGAGGGCTTGGAATCCCTTTTAGGGGGTGTGCACACTTAAGGTAGTCGTTTCGTTTCCAACAGAGCAGTTGTGGTACCGGCACTTGTTCGGGGTGGCCGTCCGTAACCACGGTCCACCGGGCTCTACCGAAAGGTTGAGCACCGCCCTTCTACATTACTAGGAAGTTAGAGAAGAAGTGCTTTTTGAGGAAATCAAAGAGAAGAGTTATTATGAAGTTTTATAGAGGAGTTGAGGATTTTTGTAAAGAAGTAGTCTTGAGAAAAATCAAAGTAAAAAGAATTTCGATGGTGTGAGTATTTTTATATATTATTATATAAACATCTATCTTAGTCAAACATGATTATTTTACGGGGTTGGGTAGTACTTACTTAGCTCTAAAGCTAATTTTTGTCTTCTTTTCCTTGTTTTGTTCTGCACTTATTTGTGCAGGTGAGGTTGATTCTGTCGATTGATGATTGCTTGCATGGCCCGAGAGCGAGTTAGAAGCCGCCTTAGTTATAGTAGTCATGAAATAACATTTACTTTACAAACACTTTATTTCTATTAAATTATTTGTTATGTTCTAGTTGCCTGTGCATCCAGTTGAGAGATGACCGGATGTGGCGGTAACACCCATTTCCCTTACTAAGACTTCCGATGTACTTTCTTTAGATTTTCATTATCAATAAATAAAAGTTTTATTTCAATTATATCAACGTTTTGGGTGGGAAATTTGGGGGTGTTACATCACCCCCCCCCCCCTCTAGACTGTTTCCATTACAAACGGGACCAACAAGTGGTATCAGAGCCTCCTTGTTCTTGTAATCTTTTAGGTTACTTACTAAACAAGAGAACCATTTGTTTTAGCCTCTTTAATCTCATATTATGGATAACACTCTTTCAAAGAATCTTATGTTCTCAGTAACAAAGTTTGATGACTGGAGGATCCGCATGAAAGCTCACCTCTGCGCACTCCATGACGAAATGTGGGAAGTTCTTGATGCAGGACCTTTCACAGAGTTCACCAAGGTCAACCCTGAATACATCACTGGTAGTGGTCAACCCCAGATGATCACCAAACTACGCCATGAATGGTCCAATGAAGAGAGGAGGAAGTACAACCTTGACAACATTGCCAAGGATATCCTCTACAAGGCCATTGATGACAAGTACTTCACAAGGATCAAGAAGTGCAAATCTGCCAAGGAAATCTGGGATACTCTCACCCTGATAGGAGCTGGAGATGAGCAAGAAAAGGACAACAAACTCACTATTGCCATGAAGAAGTTTGAAGATTTCAAACTTCTACCCAAAGAATGCATAACTGAGATGTATGCACGCTTGCTCACCCTCACTGCTGAGATATCAGAACTTGGGAAGGAACTTACTCCCAAGGAGATCAACTTGAAGGTTCTCAGAGGTCTACCTTCACCATGGAAGATGAAGGTCACTGCCATGAGAGATAGCAAGGATCTCAGAACCTACAGCACTGAGAAACTCATCTCTGATCTCAAGTCTTATGAGTTTGAGATGAATGAAGAGGAGAAAGAAGAAGTTGAGGACAGAACAACTACTGCCCTCACTGCCAGCACCTCTCAGGTAAATAATTTTGACCCTTCTATTCTTTTAACTGACGAGTATATGGCGGCTTTTGCTAGGAAGTTCAGAAAATTCTTGAAGCCGAAGGACAGCAGAAGTCCACTCTCTAGCAGAAAGCCACACCAGAAGTCCAAACCATCAGAAAGTAATGGAGAGCTTCTCTGCTACAACTGCAGACAACCAGGGCACTTCAAAGTCAACTGTCCACACCCCATAGTCTCCAAAAGGCAAGGCCAGGAAGGAGAAAAGAAATATGAGCACCGAAGAAGGAAGGCACTCATCACTGAACAACCAGAGAAGGATCCCCTCTCTGAGACAGAGTCCAGCTCGGAATCAGAATCTGATGAAGCATTTTGTTGCCTGGATACAGAGACTGAAGACCTATGCCTTATGGGTCAATCTGATGATGAGGTATCTTCTACTTCCAACTCTAGTTTTTCTTCGGTAGGCAGAGCCTTTGATTCTGATTCAATGTCAGAATTTTGGGAAGAGTTTCAAGTCATTCAAACCACTTATTCTTCTGTTAAAGAAGAAAACAGTAAGCTTAAGGTTGAAATCCTTGACTTAAGAAAGGAGGTTGAGATCAAAATCAATCTTCTAATTAAGGAAAGAGATCAGCTGGAAGCTGAAAATGTTTCTCTTCTAAAGAGAATAAGAGAGATAGAGCCTCTTGAGATTAAGTACAAAGCTTACCAGAAGGCCCAGTCTTCCATGGAAGAGATTGTACTTGACCAACAAATTGGCACTGGTTTTGGTCTTGGTTATGGCTCAACAGAATCAGGTGAGCCTTCTGTAATGCCTAGCACCAGAGTTGCTAAGGCAGACAAGGTCATAGTGCCACTGATTTCTAGCCCCATTTGTCAGGCTGGTGTATCTGGCACCAAGGTTATTCATGAGAATGTCAGATCAGAAAAAGAAAAGATAAAGGTTCAACAGAAACTCATTTTAAAAGTTAATGAACCTGGCAGAAGACCTAACAACAAAAAAGGTTTTCAGAATACCAATAATCAAAGACAAACCCATAACAGACAAACTCATGATAATCGTGTCAGAAATGATCATCAGAAAGGCGGATATCAAGAGAAAGTTAACTTTAGGCAGAAAAGGTTGGCTGGTCAACTTAAGAAGCCCAAAGTTAATCGCCCCTCTGATCTTGATAGTATATGGGACTTCTACCCAACTAAAAAGGCTATGCAGAAGTATGTAAACCGGAAGCATGATCCTCACAAGCATCTTCCCAAAGTGAATCACACTTCCATTTACTATGACTACCAGGTGGACAATGGGTACCACCCACCAAGGTTTCACTTGATGAGACCAAAGTGGTACCGGCTGCCAAGACTGCATGACCCCCTAGGACCCAATATTGCTTGGGTACCTAAATCTTCCTTTTAATTTTGTAGGAACTGTGTGCTGGAGCCATCTCTGAGCAAGATTGGTACATTGATAGTGGATGCTCCAGGCACATGACAGGTGACAAGAGTTGCCTAACAGAGTTCCAGAAAGTCAAAGGGCCTAGAGTTACCTTTGGAGGTAATGATAAAGATGGCCAGACAAAAGGAAGAGGGAAGCTCATAAAGAACCAGATAATCATAGATGATGTCTCTTATGTCAAAGGATTAAAATTCAACCTGCTAAGCGCTAGCCAATTCTGTGACAAAGGCTACACAGTTGAATTCTCCAAAGAAGGATGTTCTGTAAAGCATGAGACAACTAAAGAAGTGGTTCTAACAGCAACAAGGAAGAAAAACATCTATGTAGTTGATTGGTCAACTGCAAAAGATGGAATCTACCTGATAGCTAAAGGAGATTCAAAACTCAGTTGGGAATGACACAAGAAACTGAGTCACTTGAATTTCAAAACAATCAACAAAATGGAAAGGGATCACATTGTTGAAGGTCTACCCAACCTTGTATACAAAAAGGAGAACTTGTGCAGTGCATGCCAGAAAGGAAAACAAGTGAAGAATTCATTCAAACCCATTGCTGGAAACCTCTCTACTGGTCCTTTGAATCTAATCCACATGGATTTATTTGGACCAGTGGAAACTCCAAGTGTTGGTGGCAAGAGATTCACTCTAGTCATGGTAGATGACTACTCCAGATTCACATGGACTATCTTTCTGACCAAGAAAAATGAAACTCTGCAGAAACTGCCGTCTCTGCTAAAGCTATTACAGAATGAGCAAAATCAGAAAGTCAAGGCCATCAGATCAGACAGAGGAACAGAGTTCGTCAACAAGGTCATACAGAAATTTTGTAACCAGAATGGTACAATGCATCAACTCTCTGCAGCCAGAACTCCTCAACAAAATGGAGTTGCAGAAAGAAGAAATAGAACCTTAAAAGAAGCTGCAAGGACCATGATTGTTGAATCAGGTCTACCTTACAGATACTGGGCTGAAGCAATCAATACTGCATGCTACACCCAGAACAGGAGCATGATTCACAAAACCCATCAAAAAACTCCCTATGAATTGTGGAAAGGACGTAAACCCAACATCAGCTACTTTCATGCATTTGGATGCAAATGCTATATACTCAACAATGGGAAGGATCACCTCAAGGTGTTTCAAGAAAAAGCTGATGAAGGAACATTCTTAGGCTACTCTGGCACCAGTAAAGCCTATAGAATACTCAACAAAAGAACTCTACTTGTTGAAAAATCTATTCATGTCAAGTTTGATGATCTCAACTCAGTTGAGAGCATAACTGAAAACTTGGAGAAAGCAAATCTAGAAGAATCACCAGAACTGGATCCACCAGAGACAGATATACCAGAGTTGCTAACTAACTCTGTCATCCCAATACACCATCAGAATCCCATCCTACAAGGAAAAGATAGTGATGAAGAATCAGAAGGAGATCAAGAGAATCCAAGACAACCCTTATCTGAACCTGATCTAACTTGGTTAAGAGATCATCCTCCTAATCAAGTAATTGGTCAAATCAGAAGTGGAGTTCAAACCAGATCCACATCTAGAAGAGAAGCAATGCTTGCCTGCTATATATCTCAGATGGAACCTATGACAGTTGAAGAAGCTCTTGCAGACTCAGATTGGATCAATGCTATGCAGGAAGAGCTTACTCAGTTTGAAAGGAACAAAGTATGGGAACTTGTTCCTAGGCCAAAGCACCAGAATGTCATTGGAACCAAATGGGTATTCAAGAACAAAGCTGATGAAGATGGCAACATTGTAAGGAATAAAGCAAGGCTGGTAGCTAAAGGATATTGTCAAGAAGAAGGAATAGATTTTGATGAGACTTTTGCACCAGTTGCCAGACTTGAAGCCATCAGAATCTTTCTAGCATATGCTGCCTACAACAACATCAAGGTCTACCAGATGGATGTCAAGAGTGCATTTCTGAATGGAGATCTTGAAGAAGAAGTTTATGTGGAACAACCACCAGGTTTTGTCATTCCTACTCAATCTTCTTGTGTCTACAAGCTTAAAAAGGCCCTCTATGGTCTTAAGCAAGCTCCCAGAGCCTGGTATGACACATTGCCCCTTTTCCTGGTGAACCATGGGTTTACTAAAGGAAAGGTCGACAAAACTCTATTTCAAATCTCTGTTGCTAATCATATTCTGTTAGTACAAATATATGTTGATGATATTATATTTGGAAGTACTAATCCAGAACCGTGCAAGAAATTTTCCCAAGTGATGCAGAGTCAATTTGAAATGAGTATGATGGGAGAACTCAGTTACTTCCTAGGACTTCAAGTCAAACAAGTTCCAGAAGGGATCTTTATCAATCAAGGGAAGTACACCAGAGATCTAATCAAAAAGTTTGGAGTGGAAGACAAATCATCAGTGAAGATTCCCATGAACACTTCACAAGGAATTGGCCCAGATGATGAAGGAAAAGATGTGGATGCAACAACGTACAGAGGGATCATAGGATCTCTGTTGTATCTGACTGCAAGCAGACCAGACATCTCATTCTCTGTTGGAATCTGTGCCAGATACCAATCAAAGCCCAAGGAAAGCCATCTAAGTGCTGCAAAGAGAATCATCAGATACATCAAAGGAAATCCAAATGCAGGCCTATGGTATC